AGCAGGACGTCTATGCCATAGCCCCAGGAGTTCTTGGTGCGTTTTCTACTCAAAAATACAAACTTTATTAGATTTGCTTTCACATGTCATTTGATTTCTGCCAATTTAATGAGGATTTTCCTCCCATTCCATTCTCCAGTCTGAAATTGTTTGAAAGAAAGCATTAGATGAAGTCTCCGGTGCTGTTTTTTGCAATGCGTCCTAGTATATGGAATCCATTCAGAATCGTAGTGGAATGAACGTATTTGCCTATACAGTGACTTGCAGAAACCACTCAAAGTACGATTTGAAGCTTTTACCCTCCCATACGATGCTTGCATAGTCTCCTCAAGCACATAGTTGGAAGAGTCAGATGTACTGGGCGAATAATGATTCAATTTCATCGTTGACTACATACGTAGTAGCGCCGCCTTTTGGTAATTTTCTATCTACGCTTCATCTTTCGTATTAGAATCCACTCACATGACTCTTCCATTATCGGAAGGTCTTAAAATCTTCGTTTCGTCTAGTTGTAATGAAGACTATAATCACCATTTCCAGGCCCATTCCAATTGATCCGACCGATGCTTCGAAACAAAATCCCTCATATCACATACAGTCTTCTTTGTTGTGCATTCTACAAGAAGCAGTTACTTTTTGATGCGGTAAGTGCTTGTAAATGTGTTCTCGCTCCTCATTTGTTTTTATCATTCGAAGATATTACTCTTCAGGTGAAAGATGTAGCCCTTATTGAGAACGGCGAACCTGAAGATTATTTACCGATGCCAACAGGTTACGGCTATGCGGCTCCCAGGCTGATATTCGCTTTCATCACATTCGGAAACAAAATCATCGGCAAGCAAGAAGTTGAAAGCGATGTGCAACTACTTGAGTTCCAATTCTTAGTCATCTAGGCGGTACGAATTTGCTAGTCACTCTTGTTTTCATTCTTGCTTGGTTTATTTCATCCTTATCTCTCTCGAGTATCTCAACCTTTATATTTCCACGCGACTCGTTGTAATGCTCTTAACTAGTTTTTTGGAGAATTCTTTTATTCTTGACTGTTCGAGATTCTGAGCGCAGTTGCCCTGAGTGAAGGAGGCTAGTAAATGTCTCAAGCTTACAACTCGATTTCCCGATTTTCAGATTGATTTTTGGGGGTTCATGCGGGAGCTTTGGACGAGTCACAGTCGCATTGCCTATCACTTGTATCACCTGTTCTTTCGCTGACCATTGAGTTACTTGAATTGATCCAAGTAATCTCTCCATTCTCCCTACGCCCAGGTTCTCCATTTTCACATGCCCATGTAATAGCAAAATCGTTGATATCACTTTTTTTCTCCACTGACGTTATTATTGTTTCTGAAATTTCTCGCATTCGCAAGCTTGCCGAGCTGTGTGATAGCCATTGCACATAGATAAGTCGGTTTTCATCAGGCAGACACTTTCGATGGCTATGGCTACTTCACAGGAGCACACCCCCACTTTTCCTGTTTCCCAGCTCTAAAGCCATAAATCAAGGGGTATTTGTTAATCACCGAAGAGATGATGTCGAATTGCCAATCATAGTAGGTCCAATGTTTATAAGATATAATGAATAATTTATGCTAATTGGGAGATGTTATCACTATTAAGGCCCAACCAAAAGCAATAGGGTACTGAGCAGTACGGTAATATCTCAACGTGGTATGGTTTTTACATCTGTTGGTCGTTATTTTCGCATTTTTCATCGTGTATATGAGCTCGATGGAGATATTCCTATGGTCTGTCTTCAGAGAATTCAATTCCATTTCTTTCATTGATGTTCTTGCTCGCGTTGAACGGATCAAATATATACTTTATGAAAGTGTCGAAGTAGATTTTATAAATATTCAATTTTTCTTCTCCGTTTGAAACACAGCGTGGCTTTCGCTTGATATTTCTTTTTCCAATTTATTCCAAACAGAACTAAGTGAGATGTGGTCAGCATTGTAATCCTCGACACCGCGCCATCAAGTGGTCTTCGTATGGTGCATGTCGCAAAA